CCCTCCCTAAAAGAGGTTTGAGTCACCTTCCACAGGAAGAGGACATGACTACAGGCCTCAGGCCTTGAGAGATTTCTATATTAATGAGATACCTAAAGGCCAGAGGGCATAGCTAATTAAGTATTCTTTCCCAGACCCTTCCTCATTCCCCCCTCCCTATTTAAGTCAGGTCTACCCTGACCTAAGTGGGGGTGCACATCCAGATTCAACTACCATCCACTATGAAAATAAAACATGAAAAACCCATGGATTTCCACGTGTCTTTTATTGGCTCACCATAGGGAGACCGCAGAGAAGGTCTCAACTACTGAGCTGTGTCTAATCTCCCGTGGAGAGCGTCTCTGTGTCCCACTGTGGAGGCCCGGCTCTTCAAGGAAGCTAGATGAGCAGCCACTGCTCAGCCAAGTGAGTAACCAAAGAATCCCTTTTCCACAGGGCGCAGTCCAGAGCTCTCCCCCTCTCTCCCTCGCCTCTCTCAGCCTGCACTCCCACACGCCCCTTGTCTCCATTCTGTCTCAGCCTCCCAGCAGCATCTGGAAACTCCAGAATTGAGGCCCCCTGGCCCACTGCAGATGCTCCACCGCTTCTTTGTCTGGGCGCCTCTGTGCACTTGGTCAACAGCCTCTGCAAGTGCTCACCCAAGCACTCGTTTGAGCGTCCCAGAGCTGGCGGGCGGCCACCCTCTCTCTGGGTCCACTCATGAGCCCTGCCCCCTCCCCCGTGGAACTTCAGACTGAGTGAGAACTCCCCCCACTGGGCAGGGCCCCATAGAGCCTGCCCAGTGCATGTGCACGGAGTGAACTCAGTTCAGATTCCTGTGCTCCAGTCTCTTTAGAGCCATGAGAATCACAACCACCCAACAAGATTCAAGAACCTGCCCATGTGACCATGCATGAAGACATCATTTCCCTGCAATAGTGCGCCACTCTGGGCATGGGGAGATCCTAGTCTGAGGTCCCGCGGGGGTGGAGCTCTTGGGTTGGGAACCCTCAGGCAAGAAGGTGGACAGGGATCAGCTGGTCTCAAGTCCTTGAGCTCCCAGATGCCACTGAAAGGCCACAGAAAGATTGAGACTGAGGGTGTACAGGCTGGACTGGCCCCCAGCTGAAAGGGACAAGGGAGAGAAGCTCCAGCAGAGTCCCATGGGGTGGATGAAACTCTCGGTTGAGGCAACTCACTTGGTTGGGTCATGGCTGGCTCTGCCAGCTCCGCTTGGGTGGGCGGCCTCTCCGTGGCTGGAATGTAGAGAAGTCCTCCAGTGGGAGACTAAACTGTGGCTCGTTAGTTGAAGATGTGCTCTACAGTTCTCCACTGTGGGCCCCAAAGACTAGAGGTAGTCCATGATCTTAAAATGTTTATTGTCATGGAGGAAAGTAGATGAAGCTGTACCCCATGTTCTCAGGGAGGGCCTGGGGTTAAATACCTTTTGCAAGTAGGAGGAGGGTTTGGGAAGGAATGCTTAATTGGCTATGCCCTCTGGACTTTAGGTATCTCATGAATAAGGAGATATCTTGAAGCTCTGCTGCCTCTAGTCACGCCCTCTATCTGTGCTAAGTGACAGAAGGCCACAAACCTTTCTTTAGGAGGCTCTGTAGATGGCTGAAGGTAAGTGAAAGGAACCAGTGCCCAGGAGTAAGGCTGAACACCTACCATCCCTTTATGGTCTCTGGGGTTTGAGGCCCATGCTCAACTGGGTACCCAGCTGCCTCTCACAGCCCACTGCCCCACAGCTTTTCTTTGAAATTCTGGTAGAATTCTGTGCTAAAGCCATCTGGCCCTTGGCATATTTTTGGTTGGGAGACTTTTAATGATCTCTTTATACCCTTAAGGATTATAGGACTGTTTAGACAATGTACCTGATCTTGATTTAACTTCCATAAGTAGTACCTGTCTAGAAAATAATCCACTTTATTTTAGTTTTTTTCCAATTTTCTGGAGTATAGCTTTTTAAAGAAAGACCTGATGATTCACTGAATTTCTTTAGTTTATGTTATTTTCCCTCCTTTTACATGTCTGATTTTGTTAATTTCAATATTGTCTCTGTTCCTTTTAGTTACTTTGGCTAAGGAATTTTTCTAACTTTTTGATTTTTTTGTTGATTCTTTGTGTTATTCTCTTTTTTCTCAATGATTGATTTCAGCCCTGGTTTTGACCCTTTCTTGTTATCTTTGCCTCTTGGTTGTGTTTGCTTCTTTTTGTTCTAGAGCTTTCAGGAGTGATATTAAGTTGCTAGTATGAGTTCTCTTCAATTTCTTTATGAAGGCACTTAATGCTCTTCTTAGTGCAGCTTCCATTGTGTCCAATAAATGTGGGTATACTGTGCTTTCATTTTCATTCTAGAAAGTCTTTCATTTCTTATTTGACCAGTGGTCATTGAGAAGAGTTACCATGAGTTTTAGGCTTTCTGGTTTTTTCTGTTGTTATTAAGTCCAGCTTGCAATGGTGATGCAAGGGGTTATTTAACACTTCTTATATCTGTTGAAGCTTGCTTTATGAGTAAGTATATGGTTGATTTTGGAGAAGTTCGTATGAGGTGCCGAGAAGTATATTCTCGTTTTGTTTAGGTGAAAGGCTGTATAGATAACTTTTAGATACATTTGATTTATAATCTCTCTCGGTTTCATTATTCCTCTATTTTATTTCTATCTAGATGTCCTGTTCATTGGTGAGAGTGGGATGTTGACATCTCTCACTAAGATCAAATCCTGGAGCAGCAGCACATACTGCTGACAATATGGAGCAGGAGAAACATTCCTCCATTGATTGTAAGAGTGCAAACTTGTACAACTACTCTGGAAATCAATTTGGTAGTTTCTCAGAAAGTTGGGAATAATTCTACCACAACACCCACTATTCCACTCCTGAGCATATACCCAAAAGATGCTCCACCATACCACAAGGTCACTTGTCAACTATGTCCTAGCAGCTTTATTCATAATAATCTGAATCTAGAAACAACCCTGATGCTCCTTAATGAATACAGAAAATATGGCTCATTTGTATAATCAAATACAACTCAGCTATTAAAATTAGTATCTCATAAATTTTGCAGAAAAATAGATGGAAATAAAAAATATCATTCTAGGTGATGTAACCCAGGTCCCAAAGGACAATCATGGTTTGTACTCATTTATAAGTGGAAATTATATGTAAATTACAAAGAACCCATGGTACTTTCCAGAAACCCAAAGAAGCTGAAAAAGAAGTAAGTGCCAAATGAGAATGCTTGAATTTCACTTACAAAGAAAAATAAAATAGGCATATGAGGCAGGTGGAGACAGAGAACATGGTGGGTGTGAGAATGTGGAGGGTAGTTAGGGATTTTCGGACCAGTTATGGAAAGTGACAGAAGGGAAGGCCAGAAGACTGGGAGACTGAATGAAAACCAGCTTCTGATATGGGTTGGGGCTTGGGGGACATCTTTAGGAGGTGCCAGAGACCAGGGATTGGGAAGACTCCCAAGAGTCTGTGGGGTTGACTTTAGCTGACGCTCCTAGCAGTGAGGATATAGATTCTGAAATAGCCACTTTCTGTAGCCAGCAGGACCCAAAGTGAATTTATAAGGAAATGAATTCACCCACAAAACTTCTGACATAAAATTTGTCCTGTATACAAGAAATGCAGGGACAAAGATGGAGTAAAAATGAAGTGATTGGCCAACCAATAACTTCAGACCCATTCCATGGGCATGTACCAATATCTCATAATATTAATGATTCTTTGTTATGCTTACAGACAAGAGTCTAGCATAACTGTCTTCTGAGAGGCTCCACCAAGTAGCTAACTGAAACAGATTCAGAGCCCCACAGCCAAACACTGATCTGAGCTCAGGAAGCCTTATGGAAGAATTGGGGAAAGAATTGAGACTCTTGAAAGGGATAGGAACTCCACAAGAAGACCAACATAGTCAACTAACCTGGACAACTGGGGACTCTTGGATACTGAACCATTAACGAAAGAGCATAAAGAGGCTGAATCTAGGCCCCTCACACACATACGTAGCAGATATCAAACATGGTTTTCATGTAGATCCATCCAACAACAGGAACAGGAGCAATCCCTAAATCTATTGCCTGCCTGTGGGTCCTGTTTCTCTAACTAGGCTGTCTAGTTGAGCATATTTGGTAAAACATGTACCTAACCCAGCAAAGGCTTAATGTGCAAGGCTTGGGAGATACCAAGGAAAGGACGTCTCCATCTCAGAGGAGAAGGGGAAGAGGGACCACAGATTGTACTGTATGAGAGGAGACTAGGAGTGTGGGGCAGCAATGGGATATAAACTGAGTAAATAAATTAATTAATGGAAAAAGGAGAAAGAAAAATAAAACTAGAACTTAGTTTTGATTTTCAGTGATGAAAAGCAAAACTTCATGGGATAAGTTCTAGAAATGAAGCTTCTATGCCTCCTAACCTGAAGCAAGACATTTTGGAAAAGTAAATAAACTTGTATGCATGAGAAACAAGCTTTCATTACATAGTATTTTCCTAATTAACATGCCAGCACTTAGGACTAATATATGTGTAAATAAAACACAAAATGAAGCATCATATATTATTTTATTTTGTTCTGGGACAAGTACATATCTCATTTTTCAACTAAAATTTATGTCAGACAATTGACAATTAAATATGGATTATTAGCCCCATAGATTTGAGATTAAAATGTCTGCAAATTCTTCAAATAGAAAGAATATTTTTTGAGATAGCCACCCTGGTAAAGCAAATTACCTAGATTATCTAGAATATGAACTTTTGGATTGTGTTTGATATTCTAACACATCAAGAATAAAGCAAATACTTCTTAAAATAATTTGAATTTTGTGATTACTGGCTTCCTTTCTTCTTTCTTATTTCCTTTCTCAAGAAGCAGAGAGATGTGAGAATGGTTCTCTGCATCACATGCTCAGCTGGATATGCAGCTACAGTATGATTGTCCATATATTGTATGACAATCTACCTCCCTCAACCGACATAGTGCTCATATTATAGTAGCAGGCCAAGAAATATGTTCAACATATTTTCAGAGAATAGAATATTGATGGTTGTTAGGAAGGTTACAAGTAGTGTTTGTCATTTGGACTTTGATTTCCAGAAGCTCAATAGCAGGGAACAAGGATCCTTAGGATCCCTAAAGGTCAACAGTAAGGGAGAAATGGTGGGGAAGCTTACAGCCAAAATTTCTTTGACATGCCTCAGCCAGAGCCAAGAGTCCACAAAAGAAATGTGAAAGAATGTACAAATACAGTCTAGAAGATAAAAGGTCACAAATGTTACCACTAGCATCAGGATGGTGTGGGCTGCTCTGATCTCAGCATAGGCTCTGAGCTTCTGTTTGGGGGATTGAATATACAGCAGTCTTTGGTGGTGTCTGTTCAGGAGAATCACCATGGAGACACTGGTCCAGATGATGATGCTGATGAACATTGCATCATGGGCAAACGACAAGATGCCCGTGCCTACACTGAAACCAGTGGTGGAGCAAACCCACTTGCTTTTAGAATTGGTATCATTATGTTTTTTCTGTGGACCACTGACTGTCATTGGAATGTGAGCATTATTTAAGACACTGAACAACCAACAACTATAACAAGTATAACTCACAAATTTGGGGGCTCTTCCACTGAGCATCACCCTACCCCAGACACCAGGAGCAAGAGTGACAAACTGATAAGTGCTCAGGGTGCAGGTGGAGCACATATTTGTGCTTCGGGCCACTAGCCAAATGAAGTACCCAAGTTTACATTTTAGGTCAGTTGGGGGTTCCCTTGGAACAAAAACTGAAATATTGTATGGAAATGCAAAGAGGAGAATTAAGGCGTTTCCCACAGCTAAGTTAGCTAAAATGACTTGTATGGGCCTCTGTTCAGAGCCATTCAAGATTGGAGATAAATTATGGACAAACAGAAAAATGTTGACTACAGTCCCAACCCAAACCTGGCAAAGCAAGAGGATCTGAAGAGCCACTTCCTCTGTGCTTTTCACAGATTTATTCTGAGACAACATGGAGAAAACTTCATTGGACAACTGAATAATGATCAGGTTGGACAGTGCTGTTTTCAAGAGTCTTAATTCCTGACCTTTTCAATTGTTCTTAAGTCTTTTTTTTACCAGAAAGAGCAGCACTACTTTATCTCACCATGGTAACGCTGACTGGAAACACTCCATGAACATTGATCCAGAATATCACATTTATCCTTATTTTACTTTGTCTTTCGTCATGATAGAGCTGTGTGTGTGATGCAGCGCTATCTTTTTTGGTCAACAGCACAACACACATTTTAACACAGTATGTGCTCTGTATATTTGTAAATGAACATTTATAGACAGGAGTACATTTTTGCTTGATTAGAATTGAACGTCTTTCCTCATGTTATAGTAATGTGTTAAGAAGTACAAATTTGTTTTTGAAAATGTGGTTTTGGGTCTAATGACATCAATTGAACTTTGTGACACTTTTTTCCCTGCATTTCCTGTCATTCACACCAGCAAAGCATTTGTACACATAAAATAAGTATATCTTTAAAAATATACTACAGGTCTGAAGTGATAGCTCAACAGTTAAGAGCACTGGTTGCTGCTCCAGAGGACCTTAGTTCAATTTTCCCAACTCACATGACAACACCCAACTGTCTGTGATTCCATTAGAGTGGATGTGGTACCCTCATTGCCAAACCTGCAGGCAAAACATAAATGCATAAAAAATTAAATAAATAAAAGTTTGAAGAATAAAATACAAATTTAATAATTATACTTCAAAAAGAATATTGTTGAAGTATCTCCCCCTAAAATAATCCATCTAGTTTTCATATATTTTTATATTTTTTACCATAGTGATAAAATCAAAAATATTTCTGAAAATGTCACTATTCTGTTCACATAGAAGAACCTTGATTTACACATATATCATATATGTGGGATAAAAGTCTGTGGAGCCCAGGCATATCAGTGATTTATAAATTTCTGAATTTTATCTGTTATTCTAAATAATTGGGTATTGTACACATAATTGATCCACCTCCAGTTTTTGTCATCCACAACTGAAACCATTTTTAAAACCATTACAGTTTCTCCACCAAAACTCCTTATCCCATACTCCCTCCTCCTAATTTTTGGTGGAAAATGAGAAAGGAGATAACATTGAAAGGTAAATACATATAATATCCAATAAAAAACCCACACAGATAAAGGGTCTAAAAAAAAAAGAGAGAGAGAGAGATGGAGAGAGCTTACTTATTTTAAATTAATTTCAGAAGTTTCTAGGAGTTGCTAATTAGCTAAGATCCTATTTTAAGCTCTCCACAAAAGAATTTAAATCTCTGTTCAATATTCTCAAGAGAGAGGTAAATCCTAGTTTCCTCAACAGTTAATTGACAAAAGAGAGGTAATCTCACAAAAAGTAGAAAAAGCTATTTCTAATCGATATATTATATAGTCTGATTAATTGTCAGTGGTGCTATAAAAGTCCTTTGACAAAAGATTATTAATATAGATTTATATATCATTAAATAAGGACTTCATGACTTTCTGAGTGTGGAAGGAGCGACTGTTGGCACTTCTGCCCTGACTTTACAAGAACTCTGAAAAATTGGCTTTAAAAACAAAAGAGGGGGAACAGTACCCCCTCAGAAGGAGTCCCCCTGAAATACTCTCCATCATGCCTTGTTCACTTTTAACTCTCTAAAGCTGAAAGCTCATGGCAAATCTCTTGCTGACCATGTTGTGACCTCTGGCACCACCAAGACCAACAAAACTTTGCCACAGATATGGGGAAGGACCCTCTTACCCATAAAGGGAATGGCCCAGACCCAGTTCCCTTATGGAGCCGAGGACTGATATGCCTGTCCAATACCACAGAAGGCACAGCTAACTGGCTACCAAAAAGATTAATGAAAAAAATAGATACCCCCACAAAGACAGGCCCAACCATAAATACGATGAATAACAATTTACATCCAGGGAAGAGAAATCTCCCTGAGAATCCCCTTCTTTTTTCTTTCCAGGTAAAAATGAATCACCCGTGATGCCTGCTGATAGAAGTTCTAATCCAGATGTGCCAGAAGCCAGGACCCTCGCTCTTACCCTCAACCCCTACCTTTCTCCACCTGCACAATGTCCCCTGAAGCTTGGCAACTGTAAGATCCTGCTTGGCAACTGCAGATAGACTCAAAGCAGTGTACCATATCTTCTGAAGAATAGCAGGGAGACCATAACTCAAGCAGTGTACCATATCTTCTGAAGAATAGCAGGTTGCAGTCCTCCTCGCCCCCACGAATAACTAGGACCTGCTGGTCGGGTCAAGTAGTGCCCATACGTGGGGCTCGAGGCACGGACCCCTCCAGACGGAGCTTCATTGAGAGGACGTGCGCACGACATCAAGATTGAGTGAGACAGAGATCGTCGCCCGCAACCTGTCGTCCTTGGAACCAGGTTGATTCTGCCATCAAGAAGACGGTTGAAGTTCATTACCATCAGCTGAAAATTGAAGAGGATCCAGAAGTGACTCCGCAGGAGACTGACACAGCTGCCAGCTCCCCTGCCTCCCCCTACGGTCGACCCCTAGACTTCCACGCCCTCCAGAAGGGTTCCTGGTATGCCTGGCTTTGCCCTCGTTTCTCTTGCTAGAGAGCTTGGCCTCTTGATCACCACAACAAAAATTGGCTTTTTCCTAAACCAAGGCCGCCCTTGATATGGCCGCTAACATTGGGGAGCCTTCCTTTATGACAATATTACACCCCAAACTGACAAATGGTTGGTAACTTGAACATTTACAAGGGACTAGGATGGCTGTGAGTTAGCCCAATGACGGGATTATTGTAGGTCCACTTCCCAGGGGCCCACCCAATGCAGCCGAAAAGGAGTGAGTGGTGCTGGGAGTGGGTGCAGCCTACATGGCCTAAGACAGGGCTCTCACCCTCCTTTCACCCACATCAGAGTCCCTTGACGTTGCCCATCGTCGACAGCCTAAAGCCTTCGACTATCGATGTGACTCGTCTCACATCAATGTTTTGGGGTTGTGAACTTGTCTAAGACCCCCCATAATTAGACATCCAAATTCAGAACTCACATAGTTGGGATTGATCATAAGACACCTTCTCTAACTAAACAGAGAAGGGGGAGATGCCAGAAGCCAGGACCCTCGCCCTTACCCTCACCCCCTACCTTTCCCCAACTGCACAATGTCCCCTGAAGCTTGGCAACTGCAAGATCCTGCTTGGCAACTGCAGATAGACTCAAAGCAGTGTACCATATCTTCTGAAGAATAGCAGGGAGACCATAACTCAAGCAGTGTACCATATCTTCTGAAGAATAGCAGGTAGATCATAATTCAAGGCAGTGTACCGTATAGACCATGACATGTTTCAAGGCACAGGCTAAGAAGATTCTGTACTTTTCCACCACCTGACCCCTCTTACGCCCTCCCCTTGTAAAACATGCTATAAAAAAGCATCTCATGTTCAAAAAAAATTTTTAAAAAAACCATTACAGTTTAAATCTTTTCACACACAAATTTTTTGAAACTCAGTTTTTGAAAGATCAAGTTTAGTTTAAACTAACTTGGTTTATTTTGCTGTCCATGTGAACTATAAACCACCATCCTCTAGTTAAAAATCTTTCCTCCCACATATAGTCGTCACATTAAAGGACATATTCAGGTGAATCCTGAGCCATGGAATAGACATTTCTTTAGACTAAGGAAATCACTGACATGATAAAGCAAACTGTGGAGACAAAATTGAAGCAATTCTAATGATTAATATTAGTTCTACAAAATACTGTTGACTGTAGAAGAAAGAAATAAAGTCTAAGCAAAAATCTACAATTGCAGGAATCTCACCTACACTCATCAATGATGGTGATGCTCACAGAGATGAAGGCTTGCTTCTAAGTGTTACTGCAGAAACACAGCTCTGAATTCCACTCCCTTTGATGACCTTTTCTGTGTGTCTATTTCCTAAGACAGATCCAAAGTAATCCTTACCTGCCCCATATTTTCCAGGAACTGATATATGCTGATCACTGACTGAGGCCAGATATCAGAGCTCATAAAGAGACAGTGTCTGGTCCTGGCATCCCTCAGAGAAGCCATTACTCTGTTATCAGTGGTATTATTTACTATGTCTGTGTGGGGATGTTTCAATACCTCCAGTGAAATTAAAAACATTTATCCCCAGGGCAAATCATCATTTTCACTTTCTGGTAATTAAGGATGATGCCAAGAGTTTGTTAGATCCTAATGACTAACCATGTTTCCCTTGAGAAATTCTAAGTTCTGAATTGATGTTGTCATCAAGAGTAGAAAGGCACACTCCGGGGGAGATCAAGAAATTTCTTACATGTATTTTCTGAGCGGAGCATTACACCATATGCTTTCCTTCATGAAAAATCATGCTAATATCAAGTCGTTCCAGACAGACTATTAATATATGATCTAGACTCTTGTATATTCCCATGTACAGACAAAGACTTTGCAGACTGACAAATCAAAAAATTGAAGCCCATGTTTCCCCTGTCAGTCCTTGGATTATTCCAATAACCATTTGTTTTCAGGTAGATCATGATTCATTTTCTGAGAAACTCATGGAGACTTACTAGAAATATAATAAACTGTGCTATTTCTATGTGTTTTTATAGATACTAAATCAATTCTGCGCATACAGGCAAGTATATATATTGAGTAGTCATTAATTAGTATAGAGAATTAGTCAAGTTAATTGCTGCTGTGTTCACAACAGTCACGATACAGAAAGAGCTTAAATGTCCATCAGGTGGTGTATGGATAATGATAGCATGGTATATGTATACCATGGAATATTATTTATCTGTTAAGCAAAATAAAAGAAATTATGATGTTTATGGGTAAGTGGATGACTGAGAAGCCATCACTCTCTATATAGCAACCCACAACTTTATACAAATGTTTCTTATACAAGGAACTTATTTGCCTCGGGTAATAGTCATGCCTCTGTCTGCTACACTAGGCATTGTACTGGAAGCTCTTAGGCTTTATACATTCTTATCTAGGCCTAGAATGTTTTCAGCCTCTGAGACTTACTGCTTTTTCTGTTTTTGACTTGTTCCTTCTGCTCTTTTTCTGGTTGATTCAACTCAACCATTCTGGCTCAAATTCCTCTTCAAGCTTACTTATTCAATCTTGTTTTTCCTAAATTACTCTGACTGACCTTAAATTAACTTTGGCAATATATTCTAACCTTCAGGCTCCTTCTCATTTTCTGGCTCATTCTGTCTTCACCTGTGTCTAACTTGTTCTCCCTTTTCAACCTGTCTCTTTATAGCTGATGGGTAAAACTGCCACTTTCCTTTCTTCTTTCTCTCTCTTTCTCTCTGCACTGCTCTCTTGCGTAGTTTCCTTTTCCTCTATCTTCACTGAGAGTTGGGGAAATCCTATGTGATTCAT